TGTGTGTGTGTGTGTAAAAAGAGCGCCTTTTATATCGGTGAGTTATTTTGATGGCATGGCCAATATTTAACTTTAACGTAAATATCAGTCAATACCATGCCGATAATATTGTACATCCCTAAGATTGAATTTACTTCAATTTGAATACCATTCCTATAAACTGTAACTTTGCTTCATATGTTTTAAAAAACATCAATATTACCCAATTTTTTCCTAAAATTTTACATTTTCTAAGTTTAAATGTTCTATTGCGATTAAAGTGTGGGCTTATATAGGAGATTTGAAAATCATTGTAATTTGGTTTTATTTCAAAATCAGAATCAGAATAAACTTTATTATCATTGCACCGAGATACAACGAGACATTTTATGCAACATAAAACTATATTAGAATTGTGGGTGCACATTTTTTGTTAATCTTCTGCTGATTCTGTCTCACAGGTGGCACAGGAAAAGCTGTTGAAGTGTCTTTTGTCTGCAAAAAACAAAACCCTGTATGATACTGTTATTTAATGCAGTTTATTTGTTTGTACTCTAGAGTTAATTTAGTAGACGACAAACTTTCAGAAATGAAAACTTCCTTCTACTCGAGCAGAAAAAGGTTCTCTTGGTGTAAACTGAAAACTAAGCCAGACTTAGTTAGCGGGACGTTGGGGTGGGCATCACTCTGAGCTCCTCCTGGAACTGGTTGCAGTGTGGATCCCCTCGGATTCTAGGTGTCTCCGGTAGTTGGTGCCCGGTTAGGGGGTTTACACACCAACACTCGCCCCGCTGGCCGTGGGTCGACATGTTGCACTGAAAATAAAGAAGAACAACATGAACTGGATGAGTTGGAAGCCACTGGGGGGGAAGGGGAGGGTGTAAGGATGCACAGTGGGAAGCAGAAGCGGGTTAATGAAGCATGGCGTTCAGAGGCTGGAGATGTATCTGTGTAAGTGGTGGTGGAGGGGGAGGGATGGGGGGCATTGGATAAGGGTTTTGCTTTGGGCGGGACAGCAGTCGCCCAATAACAGCCCGTCCTTGGGTCATGCCCCCAACACACAACCCAAAATCTATCCACAACCACATGTTATCACAGACAGACACACACAGGCACAGCCCCCCTGCAGAGCCCCCCTTCCCCCCTCCTAAATGAGGTCGTAATTGAAGCGGACACAGTTTGCGCCGTGCACGCGGGCCGACCGATTAGGGGTCGGTGAGAAGAATGAGTAGCTGTGGGGGAAGAAAAGACTTTCCATTTTCCTCCTTCAGTGAGAAAGAACAAAAAAGTGACAGTTACAGTAATTACTGAGCGACAAGGAGGGACGACTCCAAAGGGGAGCCAAGTGTTAAGGAGGTACAGTGTTCCTCCCTGGGAACTGAGGACTCCGCTCAGGAACAATGCTGTTGTTTGTGACCAGTGATGAAAATTGGCTCAGTGGTTGAGAGCCCAGCTTTAGGAAACTGTGGCGCCTATTCAAATGTTCTTTTCTGCTCCACTATGTCCGTAAGAAAACACTGGATATGTGACCTTGTTTGTGCTCCTCTGTCTGATTTCTATGGATGAGTAGAATTCAGAATCCCCCCCGTCGGAAGCACAGTTTGTTCCTCGGCTTAACAAAAGTCTTCCCATGAAGTACGCCAAACTGTTTTATTTCTTTGTAACCCTGAGCTCTGAAGCTTGTTACCTCTTTCCTGACAACAACAACTACCCACACGTGTGTGTATGTGTGTGTGCATTTGTAAATAAAAACCCAAGGAAGAGGCGGAGTTTGTAAAAGACTAGATGCATAGCAGGGTTATGCCTAGCTGATACGAGGCTACTGTGTGTGTCATTTAGGGTTTTTAGACATTCTAAATGTCCAGACTTTTTTAGATTTGGTCAGTATTGCATTACATGGTTATTTACATAGAATTCAATGTTTATTTGTAATCTTACATAGATGCAATAGCAGCCAGCTGTAGCACTTCTGGTGCAACCTGGGGCAGTTTATGCAAGAAAGACACACTTGTTCCAAAAGATGGACTGAAATCTGCAGCTGTCCACATGGACAAGACAAATTCAACACAAAGACAAGAGGTGTCTATGGCTGAGTGGTTAGAGCAGTCATCCTCCAACGCAAGAGTTGGGGGTTTGATTCCAACAGCAGTTACATGCCAAAGTGTTCCTGGGCAAGCAAAACACTGAACCCCTCATTGCCTTTGATGTGCGTCCCATTGGTGTATAAATGTGATAAAGCACAGATTATTCTCTGTATAGATATAGTAGAGTGCTGTATGAATGGGTAAATGAGGGCACAGATTGTAATATAAGTGCTTTTAGTATCTTTATAAAATAGAAAGGTGATATATAATTACAGTCTATTTACTATTTACCATTTACAAATGCCTTCTGGCGAAAGGTTTGATGGTCAAATAAGACAAAGACTGAGCTGTTAGCCACAACGACATGAAGTATTTCTTGAAAATTCAAAGTGAGGCTTTCGGACTTATTGCCATTGTACCATCTTTCGGGCATGGGGGTGGAAGCATCATGCTGTTAAGCTTCGTAGCTGGAATCACAAAAAAGGAAAAATAAGTCCAAATTTTTCAAATTCAGTAACCACAACACAACAGCTGGAACAAAGATGGTTGTTCCAACAGGTCCAAACACATCAGAGCTGGTTTCTGATTGGATAAAGCACACTAAACCAACAAGAAGTGGGGGGGAAAGGTGTTCTCTCTTACGTAGTTGCAAGACGAACATGACGCTGCACTTTTTTTTTTCTTGGATCGCTGAAAGCTTGTTCTTGACACGGGAACTTTATTCTCCTGTGGGGTTTGCATCAACCATTGTATTATTGGTCAGAGGAGAAAAGTAGGGTTGGTTAATGTAGCCATGTTGTTCCATGAGCTGCTCAGGAACCAGTGTGGCCACAGTCACACACTGGAAGCTAACATTAGCTTCTGGGATCCAGTATTGGCAGAGAAACCACAGATGCTGTGTGTGGTTGCTGCTGAACAAACAGTGAGATTCAACAGTTGTCAAAAAGGTGGGTGACATCCTGATTTAAGATGTTTCCTTCCTACTCCATCAACTGAAAATCTTCCATCTCTGTGATTGTCAACGCATTGTAACAACACAAATCAAACTTGTTTCCATGCCATGTCATCATGGTTATGCTATTGGCATTCTATGATGGCTTATTGCGGAAAGAGTGGCTTCCTGGAGATCAGCAATGTGGTTATCACGGAGTATAAATCCAGTTTGAAATAAAGCTTCTGGACTGGCCTTCCCATGCACCAACTTCACTCCGTTAAAAATGAGTGGACAATGATTAACAGTATGGACTAGCTTTTTACCCTCATGAACACCAGATGCAGATGATGTGGGCCTGTTGACATCATCATGCCATGATCTCCAGCTCTCAATGGAGCAGTTCACAGTTGAGTGTGAAGCTACTGAAATGAGCATCAGCACCTTCAAATCTGAGGCCATGGCCCTCGGTCGGAAAAGGGTAGATTGCCCTCTCCATGTGTGAGTGAGGACTCTGTGCCGGTCCATTTGTGGTGATGGGGGAGCTGAGCTGTAAAGTGAAGCTCTATATTTACTGGTCTGTCTATGTTCCTACCCTCCCCTATGGTCACAAACTTTGAGTAATGACTGAATAAAATGAGACTGTGGATCCAGCCAGTCAAAATTAGTTTTCTCGGCAAGGTAGCTGGACTCTCCCTTAGAGATAGGGTGTGAAGTTCAAGGTTCAAGGTACTTTACTGTCATTCGCATCACATGTGGTACATTAGGTGGAATGAAACTGTGTACTCAGTGTCCCAGTTACACCCAAACAGAGCAAAAATGTAAAGTATAAAAAGAAACAGCATATAAGGATCTAAGATATATATACTAAGATATATGTTAAATGAATGCTAAGATATATGCTAAATACCAATAATGTAATGGTATGTTAAACAGCAGCCTGTAAAAGAGTCTGTAGTCAGCAGATAGGTATATACTCCCTACAGCCTCATGTTTGGGCTGCTGTTTAACATACCATTACATTGCTAGTGTTTAGAAAGGTGAAAAGTGTTTAGGGTGAAAATTCATTTATCAATTCAATTCAATTCAGTTTATTTATATAGTGCCAAATCACAGCAAAGTTGCCTCAGGGCACTTTACAGGAACATTCACATACATAGAAAAGCCAATTAGTAAAGTTAGTAAAGTTCTCTATCTAAGGAAGGATCAGGAGCAACTCAGAGTAGAGCCACTGCTCCTCCACATCGAGAGGAGCCAGATGAGGCTAGTTTGGGCATCTGCTAAGGTTGACCCCTGGATGCCTCCCTATGGAAGTTTATGGGCATTTCCGATTGGGAGAGGAACCTGGGGAAGACCCAGGACATACTAGAAGTATCTATGGGTGTTTTCACACCTGATAGTCCGGTAGACTTGGTTCTATTGGGGACCAATATTCATAACATTTGTTTACATTTCAGCTGGTGTGGTTTGCATTCACACTATACTGAGTCAATTGAGCTGTCAGCTGCCTTGTGTGAAAAACATCATTCTCCATGGTCTTCTGCCTCATCTTCTGCTCATGCTGAGTCCATTTTTGAAAATGACAAAATATAACTCCTGTTAAAAGTTGACGCTACTCCATTTTTGTTTTTATTTCCAGAAGAAAAAGAAGTGTCTTCTTCAGAGGTTTTTGTGTCGTTTTTGTCAGTAGTTCTTGGTGCAGCGCCACCACAGGCGAGTGGGGGAACAGCTTGGTCCAAACAGGTTGGCTCGACTGCACAGTGCAGTGTGAATGCAAACACACCAGCTCAAATGTAAACAAAATGTTATGAATATTGGTCCCCAACCAAACCGAGTCTACCGGACTATCTGGTGTGAAAACAACCTTAGGCAGACCAGAGTTCGCTCTTTTGGTCCCTATCAGAGTTGTGCATTCACACCTCCCCAAATGAACCAGAATTTCTAGGCAAACGGACTAGAGTTCGATTAAAGCGGACTAAACATGGCTGTTGTGAATGCACCCTATGTCTCTCAGCTGGTCTGGGAATGCCTTGGGGTCCAGAAGAGCTGGAAGAGGTGGCTGAAGAAAGAGATATCTGGACTTCCCTACTCAAGCTTCTACTCTCCGAGACCCAAATCCGGAACAAGAGGAAGATGCATGTATGGATTAAAAGCCTGGTCCATGCAGAAAATCAATTTAAACAAACCCTAATTCTGCAATGAGGAAGAGTGAAAAATATTGCCAAAATTGTACCAGATGCTTGTTAATGGAGACAACATGTCTGATACATGATCAAATATTAGTGAGGAGCTGTATAAATACATTTGAGCTTGTATGTCTATTTGTGACTGTGTGAATCAGAGATTACTTACTCAAAGTGTTTCATAGATGCTCTTTACTTTTAATCTATACAATATTATCACGGGCGCAATGTCATATCAGTTCTCTGTCTGTGGCTCACCTGTTTGAGGTTGTACAGCCCATCTCTGTCACAGTTTGGAAATTTGAGCCCGTACAGGTCCTCCAGAGGGCCTCTGTTGTCCTCAGAGGTCATTTTGGAGATCTCCTCCAAGACCTGGTCCAGCTCCTGGTGACAGGCGCTCTGACATGACAAAGAAGTAAACAATCAATGCAACTTAACTGAGTCTATTGCACATTTAAAGTGTGAAAGTGAGGTTTAGTTGGACAAGATGAAGGCCAAGTTTGTGTTGTGTAAAAATGCCTCAGAGATCACGATTACGACTCAGATTTTGTAAGGCGCTGTCGGGCAGGCAGAAAGTTGAGTTGGTATGTCTGACGTGAGTCCTGTGGAGTGGAACAAGAGTGACTGGACTGTTTAACACAGCAGGTGGCCATGACCACACACAGACACCAGCTATGCACTTTAATGCATATATAATGCACACATTGTCTTCATGCGGGCATTGTAGCACACACAGAGGCTGGTTATCAGCCTGCCACTGGGATCAAAGAGGTCCGGTCATATGATTAGTTGGCTGAGGATGAGAGAAAAGGCTCAGAGAGGACAGAGTTTGCCACCAACCTTATCTGACATCTGAACGTATGAATGAAAAGTTCTCTCTCTGTCTCTCTTTCACCTTCAGTCTTTGACTCCTGACACATGTTGATGCTTTATAATGAAGTTTTAAAGAAAACAACACGTGAGTGCATGCATCATTCAGGTTCAGGGCTGGCAAACCCCTCACACCCAAAGCTTGTGTGTAAACACTGAAGAGTTCTTAGAACAGATTAGAACAGAAGGATTGCATACCTGGATTATTGAGCATGGACTTCGTTGTTTTCAACCAGTTTGACACGACTGTCAACAACGAAAAGGGCTGGCAATGGAGGAGGGGGCGTGACAAAGAGACCATCCTAGCACCAACATAACTGGTTTGTTACACTTTGGAGTAAGCTGTTGGGGGAAGAATCAGTTTTGTGTTGTGTGTTTCCTTGACTGATGAAGCCTTCCGGATCGAAGGCGAAACGTTTCAGCACAACAAAAGAAACAGTCCAGATGACCTGACTGAAAAAATCTTGGATTGTTTACCTGGATTATTGAGCATGGACTTTGTTGTTAGTTCTTAGAACAGTTTTGCATTCACATCTTCTCCCGTAACCTTAAGAAAACTCATACCAGAGTGAGAAGTGTGCTTTGATGGTGAATAGCAGTGCATCATACAATAAAGACAAAATAAGCAAGAAAACAGAAAACATATTTCCAAAGGCAACAATGAGATGTTGGTGAGATTAGATGCAAAAGCCAGCTGTTTTTGGAGCTCTACAGCTCAGGCATATATTTAAAACCATAATCCAAAGTTTAAACATAACACAAACATTTGGATTCTATATGATGTGATATTTTTATTAGATTTACATGAACACAGTTTAAGTTTGATATTGTACGGTCTGGAGACAGTGGCGCTGACAAAAAGACAGGAGAAAGAACTGGAAGTGGCAGAAATGAAGATGTTAAGGTTCTCCTTAGGAGTGAAAGATAAGATTAGGAATGAGATCATCAGAGGAACAGCACAGATTGAACAAGTGGGAGATAAAGTTAGAGAGACCAGACTGAGATGGTTTGGACATGTCCAGAGGAGGGACCGTGGGTATATTGGTAGAAGAATGTTAGAAATGCAGCTGCCAGGAAAAAGACAAAGAGGAGAGTTATGGATGCAGTTGGAGAGGACATGGAGGTAGTTGGAGTGAGGACAGAGGATGCAGAGGACAGAGTGAGATGGAGGAGGAGGACTCGCTGTGGAGACCCCCTGAAGAGGAAAAAGCCGAAAGAAGAAGAAGAAGAAAGACCGTTTACGTTTGATAGTTTATGGAGATTTTACCAAAGTGTATTGATTTCACAATATCTAACTTTTTGAGCTGTCTCACCAAAACAAACTGGATGCACGACCAGTCTTTACTTCATACATAGAGTTTATTTATGAAAAGTTGTCATTTGTGTCTTCTTTCACCCAGACTGTCTCTCACTTTTAAATAACCTTTGTCCTCATCCTAACTCTCATCAACTTCCACTGTTCTCACTTTTTCTCCTCAAAGGTGGAACTGAAGGGTCTTTTTTGTGCTCCCTTTGTACACACATTGATGTACAAGACAACTGCTTCTGCCTTAGTTTTATGATTGAGAGTTTTCTCACAGCGATTGAAGCTTATTGTTTATTCTGCATTTCTGTCTGCCTGCTTCATTAGGTTTGCTGTCAGGAAGTGAGAAACAGGTATGCGGTTACCATTTTGATCCTAATGAGCCACAGACAGCAGCTTTAGCTTTCTTTCTTTTTTTTTGCTTCGTCCTCTTCAGTTCTTCTACAGTTTATTCATTTTTTCAGCTAAGACAAAAGGATGTCCCAAATTTCTGTTGGTATTTTGAGAAGAAAATGAAAAGATGTGGGAGTTTCAGACAGATCTTTCAACATGTTTTGTGTATAGGTGTTGCAAGAAAAAAAAAAAAAAACTTTTTTAAGAACTAGTTGTCTTTTTGATACTCCTGTTCACTTTAATAATAAATTGAACATTCAGGCCTGTAATCATAAAACTTTGTAATCATTTGAAATTAGGCCCTTTTCACTGCCAGAAGTTCCTCAGTTTATCCTCAATTTGATTCTAAAAAAAACCCCTGGAAACTGTTTGACTGAGCGCCTGATGCATCGGCATGACGCCGTATCTACAGATCATTTATTTCTGCATATCTTCCACCCGTCATGTTTTCAAACGGTTCTGGTTGTTTCACATTTGGCATCTGGGCCACTCATGTCCACAGACTTCACTGGATGGATCGTAAAATTACTTTCTGGGGGTCGGGTTGAAAAGTATAAAATAAAATTAAAAGTTTTTCTTTGGACTACATGTGAAACTGTCATGTAGTTAAAGAAAAGTTGCAGGAAATATATCGACATTGTTGCTTTAGAAACACTGACACTAAGCTGTGGTGTGTGTTGCTGAGATAAAAATACAGTTAACCATTTCATAAATACTGTATTCAGTACTTAAACTTACAAGTTTTTAATCATTTTCGTATACTTTTTAAATATGTTTTTGAAGAAATATGATAATATATGACAGACAGACAGATACTCCTATGGGAAATTGAAGGATTGTCCCTTATAGAGTTCAGCTAGACTGAAGAGATTATTAGCTGCTATTTATCAGGGGTGGCACCAGAGAGGTGGCTGGGGTGGCACTTGCCATCCCTAGAAACTGATCGGCCACCCAGGTGCCACCCAAGTTGATTGTCAAGTCACTGCGTGGCCACTAAAAGATATACATACAAAGTAAATAAAAACATATCAAAATAAAATAAAGAAAGACATAATTAATGGCTTACTTATTATTTTTGTAAATCAAAAACTTTTAATGTCCAGTGTTTGTTAAATAAAACCTCCAGTGTATTTTACTCATAGAGCTCCTGCTTGAGTTTGCTGAAAGTATTTCTTATTTGTGCATCATGTTGTTAATGTAAAAGAAGTCGTCTAAGCCTTGTATACACAATTTTTTACCGGTGTATAGCACTTTGGTCAGCAGTGTTGTTTTTAATGTGCTTTATAAATAAAGATGAATAAATAAAGTTGTATTAGTATATGCTACCCTGAAAAAGCCTCACCCATGTTTATACAACTACGGTACTTGGATAAATGTCTAGCTCAGCCACTATTGATTCATCGCAACAGTGAATTTCAGCTACAGAATGTCAGCTTTTTTAATTTTTCTGACACAATTTTAAGAGAATCGAGAGTTATGTGGTGAACAATCCAGAAATATTTTACCAATCCAAGTTATGAGAAAAACACAAGATTCTCCATTAGTTGACATGAATACCTTATGCTTGTTTCTGATTGGCTGACACATATGTTGGTTTATTGGAATATATGTAAATATAGAGTGGCCCAACTTCTAGTACATGTATGAAGCTCACGCGTTAAATTCAGATTCGTGGTCTCACACGACCACCCACATCGACGTGCATCCACGCCCGCCCCCCGCCCTCTGAAGTTCCTTCCTTCACCCAGCTGCTCGACTCCTTCTACTCCCCTCGCTCCTTTGTTGCTCCTAATGATCCGACATTTGCATTGTACTGTCCAACATACTGTATTATCTTTCTTGCTTTTATTTTGTTACAAGCGAGTACATTAAATGAGGGAGAAAATGGGCAAAAGCATTGTTTGCATTAGCGAGGCGTTCAGTTTATGGGCCTCGACAAGTGCGAGCCCCCCAGACCCCCCTCCCCAGGACAGAAGGTCGTTTGCATAAAATGGACTATCTTTGTTTGCATGTTGTCCCACTGACGGTTTTCAAAGATTCGTTTCTGTTTTGACTGAAATGTTGAGTGATTGTTAAAAATACAAGTGGGTGGCTTATGCATGCATCACTGTATCAGAGATGGGCAGCGTTGTTTAAAACAACCAAAGAGTAAAAAAAAATAAATACTAGATATAAACGTTTAAATAATGTTTTAAAATGTCATTTTTCACCATTTTTGTTTCAGTTTTTGTCCCTCTGAGCTGGTGAGCAATCATTTTTATTATTACAGTAATATCATCAATTTTTTACGGAAAAGTTTTTGTTGTGTGTGTGTCCTAATATGCTGCTGTGCATTCTGGGTAAACATCTCTACTTTGGCCTGGTTTCATCCCAGAAGTCCTGTAGTTTGTTCAGATGAACCTTCACAAACTTTGGTCATTCTGCCATATTCTCTTTTAGAGAGAAATGGCTTTCCACTGAAACTCATGTCCTTTCATGACCTTTGACCTTTAACCTGCTGACTGAAGCCTGCAGAGTCTGAGAGGGAGATCATTTCTCTGAGCATAACGTGGTCTGACCTTCGGGGTGAGTTTGCTCAGATGCCCACTCCTGAGAAGATTGGAAGTCTTAATTGTTTTCCACTTGTGAATACTCTCTCTCTTTGAGGAATAATAGACTCCAAGTATTTTTGAAACGACCTTTGACCCTTCTCAGATTGATGGGCAGCAACAGTTGATTCTCTGGGAGTCACTGCTATTGTCTTTACACCTTGGCATTGTGTTAACACACACCAACCCATTTGGTCAGCAGATACTTTCCCTGCAAATATAGAAGCATTAAATTGTAATCAGCTTTTAAAACCGTTTAGTTTAGTTTTAGTTAAAATACCAACTATTCATGTGTATTTAAAGATGGGTTTATTTGATTTTCAAATTTGTACTAGATCAGATGACTAGATAAAACCTTAGAACTGAAACAGGATCTACTTGTTATTTTACCTGCATGGTTACAAAGGATGTGAGCAGGGGCTGCTCTGGCTCTGTGGTCTAAGTACAGAAGACTAAAACTGATAATAGATAAACAGAACTGATGATAAAAGACTATACCTATGAGAATGGAAGACTAGAAATATGAGTATAGAAGAGAATAATTCAGAGTATGGAAAAGCATATGGGGGCCGAGATGGTGTAGAGGCAGGGCAGCCGGCCCGGGACCCAAAAGTCCCATGCTCGATCCCCGGTCACTGCACACCTCGTGGTGTCTCTGGGCAGCACACCTCATCCCTAAAATGCCCCCCCCCGGGCACCCTCAATAGCTGCCCACTGCACCACCTGGTGGTGGATGAGTTAAATACAGAGACTAATTTCGCCATTGTATGGAAACATACAGTGATGACATTATTATTATTATTATTATTATTATTATTATTATTATTATTATTATAAGTGATAGTTGAAAAGAATAACTCTGAGCACAGATGATTATAACTCTGAGTGTAGAAGATCACAACTATAAGAATAGAAGAAGGGACAATAAAATACTATAACGCTGAGTATAGATGAGTATAACTCTGAGTATAGATGAGTAAAACTCTGTGTATAGATGAGTAAAACTCTGTGTATAGAGGAGTATAACTCTGAGTCCAGATGAGTATAACTCTGAGTCCAGATGAG